GCCCCCTCAGCCCTGCAAGCGGCTTCCCGGCACGGAGAGGCAGCCCCGGACAGCATAGGCGCAACAAGGAAGGACGGCCAACAAATCTCCACTTCACTAGTGTTTTATTGCACATAAACATTGACAGTTTCTTTGGTACACGCTCTGCTGAAGACACGAAGTGCTCCTGCATGACCCTCTGGTACAGGTGCTTCTTTCGAATCTTCCTATAAGAAGGAAGATTCTTCCAAATCTTCTTATGAAGCTTCTTGTTGCAAAGTCAAGTCCTACCACCAGCTCTGTGCTTGCCTGGCACATTGATCATGACTCCTCACCTCTGTATAGCTAAAGCACCTTAATAACCTCCTTTGGAAGTCCCAGAACATGGATTCCAAGGGATCAGCCTGACAACAATCTGTGGAATCTACCTCATGGAATTACAGGAATACAGGCAGCTCCATCCTATTACAGCATCTCTATATGACCTATCAAAGCAATTGTACAGCTTTGCACATTACATTACCCACCATTAAAATCTACTCATTGTTTTAGACCCATTTCCGCAACAGCATCAAAAAAGAAACTGCCAACAGTCACTAGGAAGAGAGAAAGTAATTATTTGGTGCCAGGCACTGCAGGCTGTGCAGCTCCTGCTTAGAAGGGCAGGAACAGGCCTCACGTACAGCCCCTGACGATGAGCCCTATGTCCAACACGGCCAGAACGGGGATTCGTTTCAGGCTCTTTTGGTGATGCTCAGCACTCCAGGGCCACAGCGCAGCCACCACAGCTCCTGCAGGAAGAGAACAGAGGCACCCTCAGAAACACCCACTACCCCAGCACAGATTCCCGTGTACGTGCTCACACCCGCAGCACTCCCAGCAGCAGCACTTATGGGAACATGGGTTTCACTGCCCACACACCAGCGCGCTGGGCAATAAGCTTAATGTTCCCTATGCTGTGGGCACAGTTATCTCACCGGGAGCCACGGGAGGCCCGCGGTGACTTTCAGACCGTGCCTGTCACACGCGACCCGCCCCTGCCCGTGACACCAAGAGCCCCAAAGACACAAAATAACTTTAATAACCACCCCATCACGCTCCCTTACCAACAAACTCCCCACTCTTACCCACACCACGCGCCATCCCCTACTGCGCGCCGCGTGTCTGCGCCCCCCTTATATAGCCTCCGCCACACGCGCGCTCGGGACTTGCGCATGCGCATGTGTCAAGGCGGGGCTCTCAACCCCGCACCCTGTATAATGCAGCATTCGCGCGCGCTCCGCAGCGCGCGTTTATTCCTCATTCATGGCACGGGGCCCGCGAGGCAGGGCGGCGCTCTCGCGAGATCTCTGGCTATAAATAGCGAGCGGGGCAGCAGGGCGGCCTTCTACTCTCAGAGAACACGTAAGT